TTCATGAATATGGCCACATGCTTTACCTGTTTGGATTTTCCAAAAACCTGGAGCATTTGGGCGCGATGCGCCTAGCCTGCAGTCGATACAAACTATAGAATACTATAAGATACCATAAGTAATACAATATATATTATATACAATCAAAATATCCAAATCCTCTACAGAATCAGGAGCCTGGGCCATTTCTGTCACCAGTTTTCTCTATATTATCAAGGACCATGAATCCTATCATACCTTCCCCGCACCTCCCACTCAATCTCTACAAAATCAGGGCCCCTGGAGGGTTCGATCTTGGAAGGGTGGGAAGGGTTAATGTTCATCATACACCCTGTCTTGTATGCCCATGATTGGGCTGGCTGCTCCACAATGATGAACACGTCGCGAGAAAGCTCCAGCAAAATGCGGAGCACTGTCGCCTTGTAGCGTGTTATAGCCGGTTCATGCCGGTTCAACTCTGGTTTCGTTTCAATATGGGTTAGAAAAGGAGTCAGATGGGTTACAAAATGGGTTAGACAATTTGTAGATTCTGTCAGGAAAAGGATAGAAAAGGTGAGCGCATCGGAAATCGCATCGGAATACTCATCGGGAAACTCATCGGGAAACTCATCGGGAAATGCATCGGGATGTGGTCTTGCATTTGTTGGACTGTCGGTGGCAACTTGGAGGGATTGATTTTATAGAGAGCACTTTTCTGATAAATTTCTGTGAGCTCACTATGGCCAACCCACAACCCAATATTATAGACTTAAGGTTTCTATCTCGGGGGGCTGGATTTTGTAGTGGATTGGTTGGGTTGAACCTGGGGTGCCCTATCTGTAGGCACAAAATGGTACCCCCTGGGTTGTCGTGTGAATTTTACAGGGGATATAATGCATGCTATTACATAGTTAAATATCATATAGTATTATATAATACAGGAATATGAGTTTTTGATATCCAAGGATATTCCTATGTGCGACTTGACTCCTTTCCCACTGAGTTATATACTCCGTGTGGTTCCTCCATTCATACTGTCATGCCAAAAGAGGTTAGACCGGACCCGTAACCGGCAAGGATAGTCACAGTCCAAAGAGTTCTTCAACCTCTGTTGTGGTGTATCGTACCTCTGATTTCTTAGCGGGGCTTGCTGTATCCACACCATCCGCCCATCTCGCCCGTCTCGCCCACCGACCAGGTCGCTTCCACGTGCGAAGACTGCTGGGCTCGGTTTGCCAGGCCGGAGCACCAGTGGCCAGATGGACCATAGAGGAGAGATACCACCATACGGTACACCCATTAGGCATCATTAGTCTTTTCTACATACATCTCTGGGTATGTCTTGAGGTGGTACCATCACCTCTGGATATCGAGAGGGTCTCGAGAGGGTCTCCTGCTCGGCACCACCAGATCGACCGATCCGCACGGCCCATCCGATGAGGATCCGCAAAGGTCGAAATGGAAGAGGAATTCGCACGTGGATTTGCTATAGTTTGCATTTGGTTTTGGTGATTTGCACCGTTTGGTCGTTGGACATTCTTCGGCCTAGTATACTGAAGTATACTATAGCAGGCATCGAATCCCTCTGACTCACTCACATGGAAGTGGATGGCATGGTCCCTTGATGCCCCCTTTGTTCGACTACTCTCCTTTACAAAACAGGGGCTTTGCCACTATGATGTGTTCGTCGGAGTGTACGTACCGTGTGCGTAGCTTCGGTGGCTCACCGTTTGGGCGCGCCGGAGCGCTCGCCCTGAGGTCGGAGACTCGTCCTGAAAGCGTCGTCGATTCAGGCTGGATATGCTGGATTCAGAGTCTCGGTGCAAAGACGCCGCGACCCGATTGGATGCCGCGGTGTTTTTCACGACCCAGCACGAGGAGCTGGTTTTTGGGACAAGCGGGTGAATGTTTGGCCCCGTGAAGTTGAGTTCACTGGCATACGGCTGGATGCTGTTTCCTGGCATTTCGGTTGCTTAGACAGACACACTCGCCTTGCCTCACAAGTAGTAAGTAGCCAGTGTTGCTTGAAATGGTGACACCGAAGACATCATTGACATGATGTCAATATAAGATATATTATGATCATAATATGCATGTACAGATGCTTGCTTGTATATGAAAAAACTCATATATTTTCCATGCCATGCAGTTTTAATCTATGCCCATTCCTCCGGTCATGACGCAATCCTAGAGGCTGGTCTTGCATGACATGTGACCCGGTGCGGGTCCCTGGTGTTTCCAGCGACCCGGTGGTCGTCCGGTGTTCGGCTCATCGGAAGAAGGGACCCCCGAGCTCACCAGTAACATGTGCTTTGCGTGAAAACAGGAGGTGCAAGACCCAGAAAGACGAGTGCCATGAGCAAGTGCCATTGAAGTGGTTGAAGCTCTTGGTGGCGCCTTTGTTGGCCCTGGCGGTCGGCTTCCTCTCCTATGCTTGTGGGCGGCAGGGCCAAGTGCCGATTCTGCTGATGTACTTCGGAGCACAAACAGGCTCTTGGTGGTGGACGGGAAGATTTAATGTTTGACCCTAGGATACCTTAGGTGGGGAAGAGGGATACAACAGGATAGACCACCATGCAGGTTCTCTCAGCATGGAGCTGTAGATTACAGCAGGCCCACCGACTGTAGTGACTGTCCCTTCCAAATGTTGGCTTCGTGTACAGACAGTGGTACAGTTCTAAGCTATTACATTCTAGGTGCATAGCAGCCCAAATCCGATGTTGGTGAAGAAACCCTCTTAAACATACTTAAACCCGCTGAGTGGTCGATATGCCCCTGGTTCGCCTGGGGCGGTGTCGGTTCTGGTACTATGCTTATACTTATCAGTGTCACTCGCCGCATTATATGTATTAGCAAATAGCAAAGATGTCAACTCTGCTCTTTTGTCGGCCGGGGCAAAGCTTCGCACACTCGCTCAACCATGAATATGAGGAGGAACGGAATTGCCAGCATTAATGCCAAGGCAGGACATTAGTCAGATTGTATCAAATTGTGGACAAGTACTCCTATCCATCCCAAGGGGAGCTAGCAGAAATAGACATATGTTACTAGGTCATACTAGGTCTCTTTACAACATTTCTTGGGGAATGCTGAATGCTACTTCTATTGGACGATTCTGCAGACTTCCTTTCATGAGGCATCTTTGTTGAAACACCCATGTGCACGAGAGGTTGGTTTCCATTGGCAGGAATGAATTTGTTCATCAAGTACATCGTGTCAGAGTTGGAGGTGGATCGAGAAAAGACAGGCGCGGCACCACCGGGTGGTGTTCGCGCTGCACAAAATTTAAGACAGTGCTGCGTTCAAGGTCCGTATTACACATCTTGCACACACAATATGTGCATACCAGGGAAATCTGTGTTATTTTGATATCCTCCTTACATGTACCTCTATGAAATGCAGATGCCTTGTGCTTACACAATGCAATTTCCAGGGGTCATTTTATAGAAACATGTGTGCCCATATGACAGGGGACCCTTGAAAGATAAGATCATGCAGGAGAGGGAGGTGCATTTTATAAAAAGAATACGGGTTCTAGAATATGGACCTCATGACATTGACTGGAGTCTGCCTGAAGTATTGTTTTTCTTCTAAACATGTTGAATTTAGCATTTTATAGAGAATGATGTCTTGCAGATCATTTTATAGCAGCTGAGTGTTTATACACGTAATACGCCACCTGAATGTATCAAGTAAGGGTGATAGTTTGATCTATTTTCGATTATTCCCCAAACAGTTTACTGTTGGGGGTTCTCAATGCTTTAAAGAATGGTCGCCTTGGTGCTGGATGGTCTGGTCGGGTTCCCGGCCGGCTTGTCTCCCACTTCCTTTCATTTGCCTCCCAGTTCTTTTCATTTGTCTCCCAGGCTGGGTGATTGTGGTCGGGTTCCCGGTCCCACTTCCTTTCATTTGTCTCCCACGTCTTTTCATTTGTCTCCCACTTCTTTTCAATTGTCTCCCAGTTCTTTTCATTTGTCTCTCAGGCTGGGTGCTTGTGGTCGGGTTCCAGGCTAGCTTGTCTCCCACTTCCTTTCATTTGTCTCCCACTTCTTTTCATTTGTCTCCCACTTTTTTTCATTGTCTCCCAGGCTGGGTGCTTGTGGTCGGGTTCACGGCCGGCTTGTCTCCCACTTCCTTTCATTTGTCTCCCACTTCTTTTCATTTGTCTCCCACTTTTTTTCATTGTCTCCCAGGCTGGGTGCTTGTCCTCCCACTTCCTTTCATTTGTCTCCCAGGCTCGGTGCTTGTGGTCGGGTTTCCGGCCGGCTTGTCTCCCACTTCCTTGCATGTGTCTCCCACTGTTTCCCCACGCAGTTTACTGTTAGGGGTTCTCAATTCTTTCTTAAGATGTGTCCGCCCTTTGTGTCACTGCTGGTGTTGGTGTCCGCCCATTTCCACTGCCCATGTAGCATTTCTATTCATTTGTCTCCCAGGTCTGTCACTGCTGGTGTCCGCCCTTTTCCGCTGACCATGCAGCATTTCTATTCATTTGTCACCCAAATCT